CAACTGAATTAACAAAAGTTAAAATTTTCAAGTCCTGTATTGCTGGACGACCAAGCAAGGGTGTTATGAGTCCCTTCACTACATATACCATGTGATTTATTTTAACGTCTCTGTATTGGATATTAGCTCTAACACAACCTACAGTTTCTAATTTTGTTCTACCAGCCCCATACAACTCAACTAGAGTCGGCTGGATCCTACTTGGATCAACTATGCCAGGGAGAATTACTGTTACATCTGCCCCTGAATCAATTTTAAATGTTTGTGGTTTTCCCTCAAATACTAATTCTAGTTTCCAGGGCTTACATTTCGACCCATCCCCAAGTGTACCTATGAATACTTTATTATTTGAAGGTCCAAGTTCACTTACTTCATTTTCGTCAGTTACGTCCTGTGCTTCTTTAGATCTGCAGACCTTCGAAAAATGACCAATCTTTTTGCATAAGTTACAGGTTGCGCTTTTTTCTGGACAGGTGCTTCTTGGATAGGACGGTTTATAACCGCACCAGATTCATTGCGCTGGGTATTCTTGTTTCTTTTGCCGAAACCTATATCCTTGATTTTGGTTTAAACTCGATGACGTTGTTGCTTCAATTTGAACTCTTTTCTCATCACATAAATTTGTCTTCTCTTTCTTTACGTTATCTGCATGTCGTATTATTGTAATGGCCTTGTCTAAATTCATCTCGGGATCTAGCAACAAGCGATCACTAAGTTTCTCGTCATTTAAACCCAGTATTAGTACCATCAACACCATTTCATCATTAAGTGAACCCCAGTCACAGGTTCTAGCCAAGGAATGGAGACTAACTATAAACTCTTCAACTGTTTCGTTAATTTTTTGTTGTCTCTTCAAAAACTTTGCTCTTTCGAAAATTAAGTTCCTCCGTGGAATAAAATGTTTGTCAAATAAATCTAAGACTTCTTCAAATGTTAGTGTTGATTCGGTTGCTAAATTAAAAGATGCAAAAATCTCATCAGCTTTCTCACCTAATGTGTATATCAGAGTGTTGATTTGTTTGTTCTCAGACTCTTCGGATAACCCAGATGCTGACCGATATCTTTGAAATCGTGTTTTCCATCTTGGCCAATCTGCTGGTACAAAGGAGAAACTAGCTGGAGGTTGAATAACTGAATGAGTGTTTGATACAATGATTGACTTCATAGTTAAATTGTTGTATTCATTTTCTCTGCTTCTTTCATTTTGTTCTTGTTCATTTTCATTATCTTCATAGTCAGATTGTTTCCTTCTTGGATTTCTCTTCTGAGGCATAGCTCTAAACCGCTGCCACCATGTACTATTTTACTAAGAATTAAGTGGATGCACTGTTTTATGTCATAACTCAAACTCAACTAACTTTATTTACCTTTTTACAAACATAGAATAACAAATAAACATATGATTATAATTCATAGAAATTAACAGGTGTTATGAAATAAACTAGTCACACAACAAAAACAAACATCACGTGATCATCCCCCGCACACACCCCCGCATCCGAGCCAAAGTTGCGACATAGATAACAACCCCAGTGAAATAGGATCCTAGCAGTCGAGTTAAACTGGAATATCACTTTTTTTTATTCTGGTATTACAAGAGTGAAACAATTTTATATTTTAACCTGATTATAAATACAATGTTTAATCACCAACTTATTTTTTAACAGAGTACATTTTATTTTATATACTATGTCAAATACATCCCTTTGCGTTAAAGATAATTTATTATTTAAACCACTATTTGCAAACTTTGGTTTTAGCTAATCAATAACGATTTGCAATACTTTAAATGCAATTCGGCAACGTTAACCCTATTCACAGAGAAGACAATATTATATATTCTCTGTGAACTATTACGAAATAACCTATATTCAAACGGGGAAAAACACACTGAAGTCAACAGAACAACAATTTTTCACATAAAAATATAAATACAGGAATAAAAATATCACTGATACTATATTCATGATGTTATTTGTTGGATGACAATGTGTGATTAATACTTGACAACTGACTCGACTTGCAGCACGCGCTCCGATCACGCGCTCTTATAACTAAGCATATCTCAGGAAATAACGCCTCTAACGGTATATAGTTTGAAGGAAAGTTAAATTTAGATCTTTATCTAAAATTTTCCCGCTGGTCAAATGCTTCTAACCAAATAGTACGTGATTTGGTAGCCGACTAACTTTTACATGTTTAGTTTTAAGAAAGGCCAAGTATAAAGAGTGATTTTACGCTTAAGTTTTTAACAATTACAAACTATTTTCTCACAACACGCATCGTCCACTTATAATTGATGTCCATGTCAAGTTTCATAATTTTTTCTCAATTCTAACAGTTCAAAATGTTGATGTTAATAGAGCAGTGTCACGCTGAGCTATATACGCGCGCGAAGCGGTTTGCCCCCAAGGTGACGTCACGTCGCGATGTGCAGAACGGTCTCAAACTCGTCCGGCTGAATAGCACACCTTATTTACTTCCACCATATATATGTGTCCGTTAGCACGATAACTCGAGCAAAAATGATCCGATTTTGATGAAATTTGGTATAAACGTGTAAACCTACATTTATTCAAACGAGTTCGCGAACCAGCATGATCGGACTATGGGAACGGGGGTTTACGGGGGGTTTTATGGGATAAAAATTAATAGGTTTTCCCATTTTTGACCCCAAAAACAAAAGATTTAGCAATTTCTTTCTAAACCATTTTGTAGAGCTTAAAAAACAAATAATTTAGTATGTTGAAGCGTTATTATGTGCCTAATGGTTACAGAGAAAATTCCAAAAAACTGTAAATTTAAAATTCCCATGTTATTCTTATGGAGAACAAGTAAACTGTTGTAGTTTGCTTGTTTATGAACATATTTTGATCAAATTTGGAAAATGTTTTTATTTCTTACTAATTATTAACATTTTACAAAAAAAAAAGTTTTACCCTCCCTGATGTAGCAAACCTTGTAGTACTTGTGAAACTAATTCTATTTAAATAGGAAATAAATGTTATATTTTTAAGTAGGTAGACATTTTAGTGTAAATCCAATCAGGCAAATGGAAATTCGCTTAGTCTGCAGGTTTGCTGCGGCGGGTGTATTTATTTAAGCCGCCATGGGAAAGTGTCTCAGGGGACAGGATGTTTTGGGAATGTTTACTTAGTTAAAAACTAATGAACTTGGCAGTTGCAAAGTATTTCATATAGAGGTTGTTTATTTATGGGGGCACCTTTGGGGGCCAGGAGGGGGGTTAACACCATCGGTACGGAGAATGGGCCCTCTTTGCTGTTGTGATTAAAGCATCAAATCTAAGAAAAATCCTTAATATCTCGAACGTTTAAAAACAGTTTAGCGTTAATTTTCTAATGGACGAATTTTTAAGGGGGGGGGGGCTTAAGATGTGATTGGTCACTATATAACTTTTTCTAATGATTTATGCCCCTGACTATGTTACCTGTAAGTTAGTTGTAACCGCATTTATGCTTATTCTCCATAAGAGTTAACAGTTTGGCCAAACAAGTGTTAAAACTTGTTGTTTTTAACAACTTTTTTGTTAAAATCCATGATTAACATTTTTTTAGGGGGTTAACATTTGAACATGTTACTTTTTGGCTTTTCCTTCAAATTTGAAGCATTGAAAGTACAAATTTATGTCCAACAAGTAATTTAAAAAATTAAAAACATAAAAAATCTGAAGAATTTTAGTTTTTGGAAGTAGAGCGGTTTTTGGGGGTCAAGGTGTGATATTTTTGGAAAACGCCAAATATTGTTTAGTATAAAATTTAATTCCTGGCTATGAAAATTCTTTAAAATGTAAGCTATCTCTAACCATTTTTGAGTTATATGTGTTAAAAAAACAGTTTTCTTTGAATTTTCAAAAATCCGCCATCTTGAATTTTATGGAGGGGGGTTAACAGTTTAAAATATAACTTTTGGGAATTTTCCTGGTGGTTTGGAACCGAGACCTATAATTCCCGAACATTTCAGATCTCTAGCTATTCTAGAAGTGGTTACCTACATTTGTATACCTGATAAGTGAGTGAGTCAGTGAGTTACACATTGGGCTGTATACTTTTAATACTTTAATACTTTTTAATATTTTACTTTGAAATGGCGACCATACGAATGTAGGTATTTTAAGCCAAGTATGATTATAGATGAGTGTATGATGAATGGCTACAATGGATGAATTGTAGTCTTGTTAGTGACTAAGGCCGACATATTCCTTAAACACAGCAGTTTATTAATAGCCCATACAGCCAATGGCAACTAAGGAACCTACAGTTTATAGTAGAATCCGATCCACATTTTTGTCAAGTTATTAACGAATTTGTCAAATTATCAGGATAGTACTGTGAAGTACGGCACTACTAGTGCAGAATATAGAATATAGAAGATAAATTTCACATCGGGCTGTATAGAATATGATAGATAATCACTGTTCCAGTCCATTCTACCTTTTTGTATGTGACTTATCTTTCTGTTCTTTGTATGTTATGTGGGCTAACAATAAATTTGGTTTTGTAAGCGAGTTTTATTCCTAAGCTACGTCACCCAAAGTAGCAGTGGGTAAAGCTCCAGTTAGTCGGAGGATACCTACCGTTACACTGATCCCTTTTCTTGTAATAAACACACTTTTTGTTTTCACCAAACAATCTCCATGAAAATGTCCTAACTGATTCATAATTGAAGCAGTTAGCAGTAGCATGAGATACTGCAATTTGTGTGGGATTTTGTTGTATCTCTAACTTGAAGAAAAAGTGTAGGTATCTAAAGTAAGCCTTTTTGATATTTTTTAAATATAATCTTGCAGATTTCAACAAAGTCTATTTTACATTTTTATACTACCAATTGTACAGTTACAGGTCAGTAATCTCTGTAAGATATTTTTTTAGCTGTACAATGCACACAAATTGTAGTTCCTTTAATAAATAGTTTAATAAAATACTTAATAATTTTGAAAAATATTGTTTTGGTATTTATATGTAATATATTGATTTTCCCAGGTCAACAGAATCAACAGAAATGAACTCGAACTACAACTGACAAAAATGGTTGTGGATGTACTTCAATAATGACATCAGTTTCCTTACAAACAGTCATCACTATTTTAAGTTTTATGACCATTCTCAAAATAATAAATCTCATAACTGTTATAAGAAAAAAATGTAGTTTTATTTTTAGACTCATGGGCCCCATAAGTAATATAAGAGTTACTAATATCCCATGTATGCGCACATTATAAGGATCACAATGTTACAATAGAAATTCTGCTGCTCATACAGTAGACTCCCTCTTATCCGGACTCCTCAGGACCGAGACTAGTCCGGATAACGGTTTTTCCGGTTAAACCAACGTCCCCAAAAACTTGTTAAAACGGACCGCTTAATTGCATACTGTTTTTAGACACGTGTTCACTGGTCTCAAATCTTTCCCACGAGAACAGTCAGAGATGTTTGGTTTCATCCCACTTCAATTACTAATGACATTAAAAACATAAACATAACTGTTAACAATCCTACTTTGATAGTTCTCATTGCGTACCACCGTTTTTTGATGCTGCTTAGTTCAAATTAGCTGTTTACATAAATTGGTAAATCTTATAACTTTTTAATGCTTTTGCATATCATAGAACCAACTTTTTTAGTTGAAAAAGTTGACTAAATTCTTTAATTCCCTTTAAATATGAATACTCTTAAGGTTAACATGGGGAACGACAGAAGCCACTGGACTGGAGCGGAGCCCAAAAGGATTTTTGAGATAAGAATATGCCCATATGTTAATCGGTAAAGTGAGCTATCATCATGCCAAATTTCAGCCCAATCCGTCCAGTGGTTTATGCGTGATTTAACTTCAAACAAACAAACACACAAACTTTCACCTTTATAATATTAGTAAGATATATATATTACGTTATGAGCTCGGACACCGTTGGACCGATTGCCACGAAACTTGGTACATACGTGTAGAATTTCATGGAATAGGTTTATACACCATCAATTTTGTGATCCGTCCAATCGGCTCCACCCCAGTGGCTCTAGAGGTTCCCCATGTTAACCTTAGGAGTACTTATATTTAAATTTTTTTTTGTCACAATTTTATTTACAATCTGTTCATTTTTAGAACATGTAGCAAATACAATAACAACTTTTAATAAAACGTTAGTTAATCTATGTCCATTGACAGAGCTAACTTAAAAATATTTCAATGAAAAAATAAATATGTAAATAAACAAGGGAAAATTAAATTGTTCAAACAAAACGTGTGCTTAGATCCAAAACATGAATCCTTTTTAGCCTGTATATACTGGTACTGTTGTCCAAGAGGTTTAGAGCCAGGTGATTAGGGTGATTTTCAAGTTTCTTTAGATATTTTGCACTAAATTTGGTTATTTCCTCTTCAACCGTAGGAATTCCACTGTCCTTGTGATGGATATTGTTATTAACATACCACGGGGCTTGCAGAATGAACCTTAAAACTTTTAACTGAAATCGTTGGATGATGTTTATGTTCGACATACTGGACGTTCCCCACAGTTGGATTCCATAAGTCCAAATTGGCTTCAGGATTACTTTGTATAGTAATAATTTATTTGCAATGGTCAATTTTGATTTACTATTTAGGAGCCAGGAAAGATTTTTAAATTTTAAATTTAGGTACCGATACATTCTTTTATTCCAGATATGGTTTTTCCATGTTAATCTTTTGTCAATCGTCATGCCGAGATATTTCACTTCGTGGGATTGCGGAATTTGGACATTATAGGTTACAGGAGGACAAGTACCTAATCTGGTAGTGAAGGTCACATGAGTAGATTTGCTCTCATTCACTTTTATTTTCCATGTTTGCAACCATTCTTCTAAGTCATCTAGGGAATTTTGAAGATTAAGTGAAGCTACCACTGGATCAGGATGGGACGCTAAAATAGCTGTATCGTCAGCAAAAGTGGCCACAGAAGTATTCACATTATCAGGTAGATTGGCTGTAAACAGCGTATATAGTACAGGTCCGAGAACACTTCCTTGGGGAACGCCAGCTTGAATTGGGTACAATTTTGTAATGCTATCTCCAAATTTAACTCTGAAATATCTGTCGGTTAGGTATGATTTAATTGTCATATAAAATGTATGAGGAAGATTCAGTTTGAGTTTATAAAGTAGGCCTGTGTGCCAAACTTTGTCAAAGGCTTGACTTACATCGATAAAGACAGCTGTACAATAGTTCTTTTTCTCAAGGTCTTCCATGTTAACCTAATGAGTACTTATATTTAAATGAAATTAAAAAATCTTAATAGCTGTTTCAACTAAACAATTTGATTCTGTGATGTTCAATTGCATCAAAAAGTTAATAGCTTTACCAAGGCCACACTAAAAATACCCCCGCCGCAGAAAACCTGCAGACTAAGCGAATTTCAACTTGTCTGATTACATTTTTATTAAAATATTTCCATAAATAAGACATATTATTTATTCCCTATTTCAATAACATTAGATTTAACGAGTGCTTAGGTTTGCTGCTTCGAGGTTGAAGGTAAAAAGTGTTTTTGACCATGCGTCAATAGTATAGGATGAAATAAATAAATTTGCCAAATTTTATCAATATATATCCATAAACAAGTAAACTACAACAATTTTCAATTTTAAATTACACTATTTTTGAATTTTCTCCGTGACCGTTAGGCATACAACAGCGCTTCAATATACTAAATTATTTATTTTTTTAAGCTCTACAAAACGGTTTAAAAAGATATTGCAAATTTTTTTTGTTTTAGGGTCAAAAATTGGAAAACCCCATTTTTACCCCATAAAATCCCCCATAAACCCCCGTTCCCATGGTCCGATTATGCTGGATCGCGACTCGTTTGAATAAACGTAGGTTTTCAGGTTTGTACCAAATTTCATCAAAATCGGATCATTTTTGCTCGAGTTATCGCGCTAACGGACACACACACACACACACATACGGGGTTTACCGAATACTCCCAAACACCTAATTGTGGCATCTTTCAAACTGCGGCCATCAGTGGATGAAGGAAGGTGGTAGAACCATGTGTGCATCGATATTTTTAATGAACACTCGATTTTGAGTAGTGGTGAACTAGCAAAGAGACGTCACTTGGGGCGGTTTTTTTTCCATAAGAATAACATGGTGATCATTTTCTAGCCACCAATTCCAAAAATCCTGATCTTTGCCTACAAATCCCTATACAGTGTGTAAATTAAGTCTGGCACACATTTTTTATCTTTTTTTCTATAGTAGATATAAGAAATCAATTTGCGGGACTGATTAAAAACAAATGTTAGGCACTTTTTACAAATTTTGAAAATAAAAATTCCCTTAATGGCAAGGGGGGGTGGGGGGTAACTAAATATTTTCAAATGACAACCCCCATCTTGTGACCGCTCATTTTAAAAGTAATTGGAAGACAAATCCAAAGATGTGTCTGAAAATTTTTTTTTGCACCCTATCCAAGATTGCGGTTTAAAATGTACTTAGGGTTGAACGGGTAAATTAGGTATGGCACACATTTCTTATCTTTTTACTCTTTGTAGATAGAAGGAATTAATTTGCGGGACTGAGTAAGAACAAATGTTTGGCAATTGCTCATAATTTTGAAAAAAAATTCCCCTTAAGGGTAAGGTGGTGGTGGGGGGTAACTAAAAATTTTCAAATGACAACCCCCATCTTGTGACCCCTCATTTTAAAGGTATTTGGAAGACAAATTTAACGATGTGTCTGAAATTTTTTTTTTTGCATCCAAACCTGGAATCTCGATTATCAGATTTATTCACTAAGTGATAAGAAGAGCTACATAAATTTGTCTATTGCAGTTCGTCCTATTGTCCAAGTTTTTCTTATATAAACTATCAAATCTCTTATAATTTTTTATTTTTGGTAAGATAAAAATGTGTTTCAGACTTAATTTACTTGTTTAACCCCAAGCACATTTAAAGCCGCCATCTTGGACAGGATGCAAAAAACAATTTTTCAGACACATCGTTAAATTTGTCTTCCAAATACCTTTAAAATGAGGGGTCACAAGATGGGGGTTGTCATTTGAAAATTTTTTGTTACCCCCCACCCCACCTTACCCTTAAGGGGAATTTTTTTCAAAATTATGAAAAATTGCCAAACATTTGTTCTTACTCAGTCCCGCAAATTAATTCCTTCTATCTACAAAGAGTAAAAAGATAAGAAATGTGTGCCATACCTAATTTACCCGTTCAACCCTAAGTACATTTTAAACCGCAATCTTGGATAGGGTGCAAAAAAAAATGTTCAGACACATCTTTGGATTTGTCTTCCAATTACCTTTAAAATGAGCGGTCACAAGATGGGGGTTGTCATTTGAAAATTTTTAGTTACCAACGAACTATACTAACTGGAACGCACGCTGGGCTACAGAACCGGGCCGAAATCCGGGGTTGCGTCTGACGTTTGCAGGCGCTCGGAGTGGGCAAGACCACGCTCCGCGTACAAGCAGGCTATGCAGTTTTGCTTTCGCGGCATTTTAAATCGGCCTGTAGCCTCTAATATGATTACATTTTACATCATATTTTTCTAACATCTTTTGTTACACAGCGGTTTTTCTTAAGCATTTGAGGTGTATGTTAAATTACTATAAACAATAACCTGTATTCGTTATCAAATTACCGTAGGCTACGACAGTAACTAACACAACAGGAACCAGATATAGTCTAGGTAAAATAATAGGCTACATTTTTTCTTATTACTTGTGGTATATTTCAATTCATGTCACAAACAATTCACAAACGTGATAAACTTAGTCTAAGTGTTGGAAAACAAAATCATTTTATTAAGTTTTTGTCTTATGCCCAAGTTAGATTTCTTCGTCACATGCAAGGTTTTTTGTTTTGCAATGTGATGAGATATTATTTTCAAAAACAATTGAGTTACAGATTTTATTAACAATAACTCATGGCTTCCAGTAAATTCATCGTTACTTAAATGTCCTTTGAATACACTACCTGTTAAATGGTTACAAACTCTCATTGTTAAATTTACAGTAGTCAAATTAGTCTCAGATAGCTTGAGCAAATAGGCATATTTAACAACCTTTAATACATCCTCACGTGATCTGATTAATTTGCCCTTAGATTTAAAATCAGTAAGGCGTGTATAACTCAATAACT